GCCTTAGGCAAACTTCAACTTGTTTTTTAGAGCCAGAAGATTAAGCCTACTCAGGAATTTTATTCAGGCACAAAATTTGTGTTGTCTACCCTTACATTTCCTGCCTCTCTTCCTTTCGTATCTCTTCAATGCTAATTCTACCTACCATTCTCCAACTTGGAAAACAGTATCTGGCCACAGCTAACACAGTTAGAAATCCTGAAGAAGCAGGAATCCCTGTGTCCTCCTGTTTAACCTAATACATTCCCAGACCCACTGTTTTCATTGCTTTTATGTTCCCTATGTGTGTTTTCAATATAGGCTACTCTGGGAAATATTTCTCTTATTTGGAGTGATATTAGTATATAAAATAGGCTAGAATTTCATACCTACTTTTGAATCTCTGAAGATCCTTTTGTTCTTCTCAGGTAAATATCCACTAGCTAGGAATTAATTTGTACTTGGGATAACTGTTTTCCAAAATAATGAGTCTCTAACTCAAAAGACTTCAGCTCTTAGTGATTAAATGTATTTTTTTTCTATTTTTCGAGGATAAATGATGTCTAAAGAGAAATACAAAATATTTGAAAGTATGACCATGAAAATAGCAAACATGCTTGAGTGTTTAGCCATAGAACTCAAGGTTTAGCTGAGGGTTTTTCTTGTCATGCAGAAAAGCAACTTCTTTATAATTAATCTGTGTAAATTCTGTAGAATTCTGATCAGACACAAATTTTCTATTTTTTACTACCTTTTTTTTTGGCAGAGTAATAATATATTTCTTCTGGGTCATTTCTAATCTTATAGAAAAGCGGTAATCTAGCCATTGTGAGGGAGAGAATCAACTTCAAACTTTTAAAAAGTGTTCAGAGTTGAATTATTAATATCGATAAAATCAAATACCTTGTGAACCCATACTATTTGCATGGCATTCTGTTATAGGGTGTGAAGTAATGTAAGACATATCCTTATCTTCAATATACTTATAAGTAATTCAGACAATAATACATAAAGGAAAAATTTGTAACACAAAGTGCTTCATGATTCAAGAGTTACTGCAAAGTAATTGTTCATTCATTCAACAAATATTTATTGAGTGCCTACTATGTATTAAAGACTCTGCTGAATGTTGGGTATCTAAAAATGAAAAAAAAAAAAGTGTCTGTCATCTAGGGAGATGAGACTAGAGAGTTATATAGGGATCAGATGATATGAGGTCACAGTAAAGTGTGATCTTTCTTTAGCCTGAGAACAGTGGAAAGGTATTAAGGGTTTTTATACAAGATATTAGCATGATTAATTGTCTTTTTTAAAAAGATCACTCTAGATGCCATGTGGAAAATATGCTGGAGGGAAACAGACAAGGTTTCGATGGTGGTAGAGGAGGAGGAAGAGAAGAGGAGGATATACGGAGAAAAGTAGTGAAGTAGGTTTGAAAATTATTTAGGAAGTAAAATCAAAAGGATCTGATGATTAGATGATGAACCTAAAGAGGAAAAGAAGGATCAAATCTACTCTGATTCCTTTTTAAAGGGTTGAAAACTTTGGATTTTGGCTTATTCAACTGATGACTGATGGTGCTGTTTACAAAAAGAGAACACTGGATGGAAGCTGTTTTAAGAGGAAGGTTTTTATGGATTTAGTTATAAACAAATTCAGTTTGGAAGGTCTTCAAAATGTTCAAGTTGGCATGTCAACTATTCAATTAGAAATAAAATATGGGCCAAGCATGGTGGCTCATGTCTGTAATCCCAGCACTTTGGGAGGCTGAAGTGGGTGGATTGCTTGAGCCCAGGAATTTGAGACCAGCCGGGGCAACATAAAGAAACCTCATCTCTGCTAAAACTGCAATAAATAAATAAATATGGAAACAAGGGAAAACATGTTAAGCTAAAGATAAAATTTGAGAATCATCACCAAGTGATTGGTCATAGACCTTCATGAGCTTTCTTATTAGTATATACAGTGGATAATAAAGTGGTTTCGATTTAGGATTCTCTCATTATGAATTAGAAGAATCTGGAAAGGTTTAATTCGGGAGGTGAGCTGAATCATGAAAAAAATGTAGAATATGGATAATAAGAGAGATGAGTAAAATGAATGAAATTGGTAGGCACACGATAAAAATAGAAATAAATAGAAAAGATATTTTTAACTGAAGGTAATGGAAATACCAACCCAAAGTAGCTTAATCAAAAAAGGAATCCCTAGATTCACATATAACCGAAATGTTTAGAGTATTCCTACTGCAAGCAAATCTCTCTCCAGGAGTGAAACAATAGTCTCAGAACCCATTTCTTCTTTTTCTGTTTCTCAGCTCTGTTTACTTGGTGTTCACTTAATTTCATGCAGGTTCTCCTCATGATCCCAAGATGGCTGCCAGTAGTTCCAGAGGCTGTATATTACATGCTTGTGTCCAGTAAGAAAAACAGAGTTGTTTTGTTTTGGTTTGGTTTGGTTTTTTTTAATAGATTGGGGCAACCAAAGCCTTGGTTTTTGGCTTATTCAGCTGATGACTGATGATGCTATTTACAAAATGAGAGCACTGGAGGAAGGCTGTGTTTAAGAGGAAGGTTTTTATGGGTTCAGTTATAAACCCATAAAAGATGCCACACACTTTTAAATGACCATATCTCATGAGAACTATCGCAAGAACAGTACCAAGGGGACGGTGCTAAACCGTTCATGAGAAACCCACCCCCATGATCCAATCACCTCCCACCAGGCCCCACCTCCAACATTGGGGATTACAGTTCACCATAGAATGTGGGCAGGAACAAATATACAAACTATATCAAACTTAATTCAATAGACAAAGAGAGCTGTTTTGTTTTGAACAGAATAGGGATCCAATGAGATCAGTGCTTTAAGAAGTAAGTCTTAGGGGCTGGGCGTGGTGGCTAGAGCCTGTAATCCGAGCACTTTGGGAGGCCAACGTGGGCAGATCATAAGGTTAGGAGTTTGAGACCAGCCTGACCAACATGGTGAAACCCCGTCTCTACTAAAAATACAAAAAAAAAAAAAAATTAGCCGGTTGTGGTGGTGTATGCCTGTAATCCCAGCTACTCGGGAGGCTGAGGCAGGAGAATCGCTTGAACCCGGAAGGCACAGGGGTGCAGTGGGCTGAGACCATGCCATTGCACTCCAGCCTGGGGTGGGACTCTGTCTCAAAAAAAAAAAAAAAAAAAAAAAAAAAAAAAAGTAGGTCTTAAGTCATAGAACATACTATAGCATCTAAGAAAAAAAGAAAAAGTGAAATCTGTTAAAGAGACGGTGCCAATAGTTTAGGAAAAAGATGGTGAAAGCCTGAACTGTGGTTAAGGAAGAAATATTTATGAAAGGAAGATAGTAGTGAAGTGCTAAATGTGAAAAATATTTCGGTAAAAAAGAATCTACAAGACTTCGTGAGATAAGAATAATGAACTTTGAGGTGAAACTTGTCTCTCGCTGAGATTTTGAGTAATGTCACAGCTTTGTCACCGACGCAAAGATGAGAGTCTTCCTTTTTCCTGCTATAATACTGGCCCCTCTTCTTCCAAACCAAGCCTTGCGCTAGGCTTTCCATTCCATTCTGTTTTAATTCATTACCATCATCTCCTGTCCCATTATTCCCTACATTCCCAACTCTCCTAGGAGCCAAAAAAAAAAAAAAAAAAGAGGCAAGTTCCAACCTCTGTCAGAATGAAGGTTGTTTTTGACTCTACATCATGAAAACTTCTCCTTATTGCAGATTACACTCTAAAGAGTTAAACAGTAGCTATCATTGCAACCATTTCAGTGGCACTTACTTTTTAACCCATTTTTTGAGCATTTCGTCAACCAGCAATGCCTCTATTAGCAAGAAACCGACAACTGAATGGTCTATATAGGTAAAATTTCAGGGAAAGCAGTTAGTGCTATTGGTTAAACTGCTCATCCATCACAGGCCCTATATCTTTGTGTTTCTCTGAACTTTTTTGTCTTTTACATCATGGGAAGAGGACAGCTGCTCTATCCCCAAAGCATCATGTCTTCATTCAAGACAAGCAAATGTGTGAAAGAGATAAGAGAAGCAGGATCTCTGTATCAACAGAGCAATATTCTGCCAGGATTTCTTACCCAGCATACTTCTTATAGCTTATGAGCCCAAATGGGGAGCCAAAATGGGGTCACATGACCGCTGTTAGCAGTAAGGAAGAATCAGAAACAGAACATTTGATTTTCTGTTCTCCATTTGTGAGATGTATAGCAAGAAAGAAGAGAATTGGGCGTGGTGGTTGGCCAAGCAATAGAATCTTCTCTGAGAACTAGCGTTATACAGTGTACTCTGGGTTTGCATGTGTGTACGCTCTTGTCGTTTTGGTTTTGACCATGTTTTTATCTGTACATTTCATTTCCTCTATTCTTTAGGAGAGTACTTGCATAGTTGATTACCAATTTTTAAAATAGGTGTTTTCTTTTCGTTTTCTATCAACCACTACCAACTTCTGCTTCACTCATTCAACAAAGATTCTAGAATTTTGGTTTTCCTGAATAGACAACACATTTTGACTAAAAAGAATATTTTCTTGTTTATGCCTAATTATCTTGGCAAGCATTACCCATGTGAAAGGAAATATAGCAAAATTACCAGATGATTCCATGGGGATTTAGTTAAAGTATCCCATTTTATCTTTTATAGAGGTGATAGAGCCTCATGTAAAGAAATATTTCCAAGAGACTTCATCAACCTGACTTTGAAATTCAGCTGCAAAATGTAGCACCTGCATATCCAAAATAAAATTAGTAATGATATCACTTGATGCAACGTGTAGAAAAAATAGTCAATTAAAGCAATAGGAATTCAACCAGAATGCTGTGCAGGCAGCATCATATAATTCTGACTTCACAATGACATGAAATTTTAAATGACAACTGTGCTAAATTAGGGAGCAGCAAACCCAGGCCAAGTTTAAATTTAGTAACACTGAAAATAACTTTCTCCACAGCAGATTCTCTATGAGTTACAGGTGACCAATCACTTGTTTTTCTGTTCTGTTTAGAGATAATCAGATACTCACTGTCTTCAGCATTGGTGTCTTCTATTCTCAACGGCATTTCTGGCAGCCACCCCAGGAGTCTCCTTGACCAATCTTAAAACCATTGAAAATTAAAGAGAGAATCCACCACGTATATTCCTTTGAAAGTTTCCACGATATATGTTCAAAAATTTCTGAATGAGCACAAGGATTTGAAGGTAAGTGAATTTGGGGGGTAACACACATTCTTGCATAACTCTTAATTGCATCAAAAGTAATGATATCTTTTAATAAAATATAAAATATAGGAAAGTAAAAGAAACTATTAAATGTAAGAAAACTATCCATGTATGTGTAGTTCCACAGTAAAAAGGAGAAATAAAGAAAACATAATGTTTAAAAATTGTTATCTGTCATGTAAATGTAAATACAAGAAGGGCAAAGTAGAAACCTTGATATTTGATAATCAGTATCACATTAAAAAAGCGTAACATACTGTGGTTCTCAAAGTTTAATGTGCATAGGAGTCACATGAAGTTGGGAGGAGGGATCATTAAAATGTTAATCCCTGGGGATATTTCACCAAAACTTAGACCCACTAGGGATGGGATGTGGCCCAAGAATATGTATTTTTACATTTACCCACTCCCAAGCGATCCTGATGCCTGTGGGTCTTAGGCCTTTGAGAAACACTGAAAGTGACATTCAATACAATCTACTCCTCATTTTCAAACCTTATGCTAAACCTGAGCTTTTATGTTGGTTGTCTCCTATAGTCATAAGAATAAATAAAGAAGGGGTAATTTTGTTACAGAAGTACTAAATTGATGCTCCCTTTTTGACTCCCCTACTTTGAGTTATTAATTTTCATTAATATTCCTTTTTAAAGTTCAGTATGATGAGCTAATCCCCAGGTGTCACTATCTCTCTTTCAGAGTGATAGCCCTGTCATTGCTCTCTTTAGCTATTGCTCTGTTCCGTGTAATGTTTCAATTTATTTAGATATTTAGGGTTATTGTATCTAATTATAAGAAATTTCTAAAAGATGTAAATAATGAGTTATTACTAGGTTTGGCTAAGTATTTCTAAATTTTGAGGATTGTATCTTTTTCTCTTCATTTTGAAAGCTCGGCCTTAGATTTTAAAAGAACAAATCTGCTTAATACCTCTTTCCATTACTTTTTTCTTAGCAAATAATAACTTATCAATCATATGATACATTTGTGGAAGGTTACATGTACAGTTGGTGGATATCACTTTATTGTATTTCTGTTTCCTATATGTCATTTAGCAACTTCATTTTTATAATTTGTAATTTTAAGTTTACAAAAGGTTTTTTTATTCCAGTGAAAGTGTTTAGTAGGGATATATTCAGATCTTAAATTGTGATGATTTTTTAAAGGTTCAATATGATATTATTTTTATAGTGAAGAATGAAGTTTTCAATCAAAATCCTTTTATTGGCTTTCAGGCTTATAGACATTTTTTGTGTCTTTGTGTACACTTGTTCACGTTGTGTAGAATTTTTTGTCCATAACGTATTAAAAGGCAACAATAAACCCTTCATCAAAAAGATGTAGTGCCAATTAGCTACACATATTAGCTATTAGTTTTACACATAGAGAATTGAATATGATCGTATGCATAAAATAATGGAGTACTTTTTTCAAGTAATCAAAACTAAAAATTTACAGAATTGGATTAACTATAATAATGAAGTCTCACATGCACTTGTTATTAGAATTGTGCTCAGCAGTAAGATTGTCATACCTGAACATAGCCTAAAACTTGTAGTTCACAAGTTTATCATTGGATAAAGTCTCCAAATAAAATTTCATAAAGCTTTTAGTGGAAATCATCTGCAATATTTCAATTTCAGAGAAACATATCTTTCCTTTTCTATCTTTCTTTTTTTCTTTTTACTTATTTTTTCTGGAAAAAGGAAGAGGTGGAGAAAGAATGAATTGTGTCTTGAAGTGAATCATGTTCATCATCATTGGTATGTTTATCAGACCATGTTTTTAAGTTGCAATTTCTTTGGGTTTTTTTTTTGTTTTTTTTTTTTTTTGTGAGACGGAGTCTCGCTGTGTTGCCCAGGCTGGAGTGCAGTGGCGTGATCTCAGCTCACCACAAGCTCCGCCTCCTGGATTCACACCATTCTCCTGCCTCAGCCTCAGCCTCCCAAGTAGCTGGGATTACAGGCGCCCGCCACCACGCCTTGCTAATTTTTTGTATTTTTAGTAGAGACGGGGTTTCACCGTGTTAGCCAGGATGGTCTCGATCTCCTGACCTCGTGATCTGCCCGCCTCGGCCTCCCAAAGTGCTGGGATTACAGGCATGAGCCACTGCACCCACCAAGCTGCAATTTCTTAAAGAAAATTTACAGTGTAGTTTCAGGGAACCTGAGCAAGACAGTCTCAATACGCAGGAAGCAAAACATGCAACAAAAGAATAAATTACAGAAACTTTATAGAATCATAGAAACATAAAGTTTTAGAGCAGAAATGGACCACTTTGATCTTCTAGTCTGGTCCCCTCATGTATAATCACATTTTCTCCTCCAAACCTGCCATATAAAAGTCTAAAACAATGAGCAGTAAACAATCTGGTTAGAGATGACATCAGCAAAGAGAAGCTAAGTGGGTGTTTTACAGTAATGATCTCTTCAGTAAGAAAAGTAGGGAGGAATTTTCCTCCAAGATGAAGATCGAAGATTTATAGGTACCTAAGTACTTAAAATTGAATTTAAAATTATTTGCATCCAATTAGATCAAAGTAATTTTTTTGATATAATTCTTCATTTGTGGAATATTGTAGTGGTATAAATTCTCCATGTTTTCTTCTTCATTAAACATTGATGGTTGCAAATTATGACAATTAATTCCTTGAAAAGATTCTTTATTTCTGGCATCAAATATGACAATGTACTTTCAAGAATTCTCTAACTATAATAGTTTGTTCCATTTGGAGGATAATGTTGTACGTTGGTTACATTAGTGTTAATATGTCTTTGTTTTTTAATTCTCCAGTGTAACATACGGTTAGTTTCACCATTATTACGACCAGCTGCGGTTGGCCTATGATTTTGTTCATTCTGTCTGAATCCAAAGTAATTAGCTCTTTAGTTTAATGACAATATTTGTTAATGGGTTTTTAAGGCCAAATTCTGCTGTTTGAGAGTGGGTGGTATATTTGAAGATAAAATCTAGCCCTTATGTTGTAAGCATAAGCTGTGTAATTTTATTTCAAAAAGATGGTTTACAGAGTTTGCAGTAGGAAAATGAAATGTGCATTTGTCTGAAGTTTCTCATTGTCAAGAATCAGAAAACAAAAGTGACAGTTTATGTAGATGAACAGCAAACCCACTGAAAGTTCCCTGGTACAGCTATCCTGCATGTGTTATTCTATAGCTAGAATATGGAACAAAATGACAATTATCAAACAGACTTTAGATACATTATTTTATGTGAGAGGACACACTCTGAGTTTTTTAAGTGCAGTACAACAGTTTTGATCATTGTATTTTTGAAGGACTTAGTGAAGTGGAAAGAATCCTTGCCTGGAAGTCACTGGGGTTCAAAGTCTGACTCAGCTTACTAGTAGTGGCATGACCTTAAGAAAATATCTTCACCTTTGCCTGAACCTGTTTCTTTATCCTAAAATGAGACTTTTACACCAGATGATCCCAGAGGGTCTTTCCAGCCTTAAAATGATAAGTCTAACTTGCTTTAAAAGAGCACTAAAAGGATGGTAGGGAAGACGCAATGACTTGAGCTAACTGAACAAACAAAACAGCAACTCTACTACTAGAAGGTATGTGGGGATATTTTGGCCTTACGAACTTTCCTTCAATGCTTTGTTACTTTTATCCTGGAATAGAGAAATATTTGAAGGGTTTTATGGAGAAGAGACTATAGGTCATGCTGTTGGAAGTTTTAAGACGATGAATTTTAGCAAAATTTGAAAAAACTTCCAAAACTAGTAACAGTTGAGATATCCAACAGTGAATAGGATGCCATGGTAGATAATGAATTCACCATCCCTTATGAGCACCAAAGGTTTTATGACCTGCCAAAGTGCTCTTCAAGCTATAAAGGCTAGAGGCAAATTTTCTGAACATACGGGAACTCAGGAAATATTGTTATCAAGAGCCCATCTTGAAGCAACTATTAGCAACTATTAGAGCCCTTCTTGAAGCAACTATTCTCTATCCAGTCAATAAGTGACTATAGAAACTACTGCAAAACAAACAAACAAACAAACAAAAACACACACACACACGCACAAAAAAAAAAACTGATCGCAAGCATTGAATATTTAACTCTAGCACTAAATCTAAGATAAATATGGAGATTAGGATGATGTAATAGAACATAAAAGTATAATGTCCTGACAATGTAAAACTAAAACAACTAACAAAAATTAGGAAAGACACAACAGAAAGAAGTCAGTGTACATATATAGTAAGTTATTTGATTACTTTATTCTCAATATCAAGGAATCAATGGATGTTTTTTAAACTGACAAACTATAGAAGTATAAGCAGATTTAAGAGTACAAAAAAGATACTAAAGGAAATATCGTTATTGCCCAAAAATAGCTGGTAGAAAATGGGAGGAGAGAGAGAACTTTTGCTATCACTCACAATAGGAAAATAGTAAATATTCTAAAGAGATAAATAATCAAAGTTATGAGGTTATAGAAATGATGTAATTTATTATGTGAACTTATAAACATTATGAATTAGAAGAAATTTTATATTTTTTAAAGTTACTAAAAATAGACCATATCATGAAAGATTTTTTCAAATCCTTTAATGGAAAATGTAAAATATTGTGACAGTATGTTTCTGTCATATCTTTCACATAAATGAATATAAAAAATACACTTATTTCTTTAAAATATTTTCAAACTGTATCATAGCATAAAACCCAATTCTATGTTATACAAGTATATGACCAATAGAAGCTAAGTACCAGGAAAATGCTATGTAAAGAAATTAGGAATTAAAAATCTTAATATCAGAAAACATAAAATTTCAGGGCCCAAAAGCATTTACTAACATGAAAGAGGGACTCTATAATCAATGCTGATGGTTATAATAGATAATGAAGGTATATGATCAGCAATAAATAATAGCTTTAAGAGCTACCATAGAAGTTTGTTCAGCAAATAAACTTCTGAAAACATCCCAAGAAATAGAAATAGCCCATTTTTT